CTTAATCAAACATGATACAAAACCATAACATGAAACGTGGTGAGAGCATTCTTAGAGAAAAGATTCGGTTTTAAATGATGGATAAAGTTAGAAGTAATCTAAATTAAATTATGAGACGACATTGAAGATAAGCCATCGGGGACAAAATTCTTGTCAAAGCGTGTTGATAAATGAAAAAAAAAAATTGATGAGAAAATTTGGTAATAATCCAGCGGTTAAAAGTGAGAAAAAGAAACGGGACATGTTGGTCCATGTCACATGCAAAGAAGAAAAAAAGTAGGGTGACAAAAAGCCAGAGATTTTCACATCATTTCTTTCTTTATTCTACAACTTACAACTATAAACCGCGTTTCTGCACGAAGATGAATAATATATTTGAATGTTTGTTGCCTTCCTCTTCCTTCCTTTCCTCTTTTGTCTTTGATGATATCATGCTCTTACTATATCCTGCTTTCCATTCAAATCAAAGTAATTGCGATTTTTTTTTTTTTTTTTTTTTGTGATTAGAGGTATTCGGATGAGCTTGTACACATCTTTACTAATCTCCTGAAGTTGATACCCTGATAAGTCTCTCAGTGGCCACTCCTATTAGGGCCTATAGAGACTCAAACTCAGGAGTTCATGAAACCTCATTTTACACTTTTATCATCAGAACACCTCGTAGTGATTCAAGATTCATTAAGAAGTTTTATCACATGAAATTTTGTTTTATAGTTTAATAATTTATTTTTAAAATTCTATTTTATTTTACGTTTCTTATTTAAACGGTATATACAAGAATCTAACAATAATTAAGTATGAAGTTGATATAATTAATATTAAAACGTTCTGGCTAAAAAATTTCTAATATAAAATAATTCTCTAATCGGAGTATCTTGATGTTAATGTTGTTAAGATAATATTCATTATGTCATTGGGTTCATTTGTAAAATATGATCTTCGTTCCTATTAGTGAATGTGAGAATATATATCATCTTGTTAGGTATATAAAATAATTATCATAATAATAAAAATTACTTTTAAAATATAAAACAAATTCCCATGTATGATGATGTGTCAAATTGTGATTGCACCACTCAAAAGACCCCACAAAAAGAAGATGTGGGATGGGAAAAGAGCCCATAAAAACAAACAAATATGAAGAATTTTTACATGTGAGCGTGGGGTGCACCATAATTTGATTTCCAAGGACCCACGCGTAAAACGGCAATGCAGCATGGTTCAGCCCAAAATCTAAATCTTCGTTTTTGTTTCTTTTGTTTTGGTCTAATTCTAAAAGTTAGAATCAAAGCAAACCAACCATGCCGTTAATACATACTTTTTTCTACTTTTTGCTTAATTTAAACATTATTTTCTTTTTTTAATGAACCTCGACGATATAGGTTAAAAAAACAATCATCTTCCTAACACCTGAAAAATATACAATTATGTCCCTCATATTTACGAAACATCAATAACTTTTTTTAATCTCTTTGGGTATACGAATATAAACACAAAAAAGTTATGAATGAGATTTAATCATATAATAATTCTTACAACCTCAAGAGATTGAACTTATTATACTCACGACCTCTATCATTTTACTAATACATTTACTTCTTGAGGTCTCCTTTAATAATATTTTCCTCTCTTGTATTTGAAATAACTATTTACCCTTTGCTGTCAACATTCTATTAGGGTTTCAAGATTTAATTTATCAGATAACGGGCAAAATATATTAGTTAACAATAAAGATTGACTCATAACTCAATCTCACAAACCATCTCTCACAACCCCGACGTGACAGCTCGCAATTGGTCAAACCGAAAAATTCATCAGAAACCAATTGCGAGTTGTCACATTGGGGTTGTGAGAGAAAGTTTATAAAATTGGATTGTAAGTGTAGAATTGCCCACTAGTTAAATGACCGGAACCTTGAAGGAACATTAACATCAAGAAATAAATTGTTATTTAAGATATTTAATGAGAGAAATGTTATTCAATGAAATATCAGGGGAACTTGTATTAAAAATCTTATGAACCTTTTAGAAGATATCAGTGAAATCTTACATTATTAATGGTGTAAATGTAATTAACAAAAAATAGGAGAGGTTTGTTGATATATCTCACTTGAAGGGTGCCATTGTAAGTCATATAAACTTCAAGTTGTTTGTTTAAAGTTTATTTATTTATTTTTATTTTATTTTTAACAATATGGTAGCCCAAAAGAGGGTCCAATAAGGGCCCACCATTATCTACTTTGCCCAGTCTTTGGTGGGAAATGTTTTCCTCCCGCGCCTTCCTCTGACTTGACCCCTAACAACTCACAATTTCTATAACTATATTACAACTTTTGGTGGTTAAATATCGTTTCCCTAATTTTGATTTTTAAAAATTAAAATTAGTGAAAAATGTATTTATTATTATTTTTTAGAGAAATAAAAGCAAATTTTCATATTTTCTAACATCTTATCTTCCCACCAAAGTTAGAACACATTTTCAAATGCAGTGCTAAAAGTATATTTTAGTTGATTTTGTAAGATAAAAATGAAAAAAAGATATTTCAATTTTATATTTTTTTAGATCACAAAATAATAATAATAATAATAATAATAGTAATAAATAATGGGGTATTATGAAAAAAATTTCTAGTGAATAAAACAAATGAAGAAGTAAAAGAGAAATTTTCTATACTTTCCCAAGGTCTTTCATTTCTAAAAGCGTGTAAACATCTCAAAGTTATATTCCTTCCTTCCTATAAAATCTACATAAATTTTGGACTTTTACTCTTATGGTAGCCAACAAGAGTGTTTTGTGTGCTAAAAGTTAAAATTTATCTACAAAAACTATGCATTTTCAAAGAGGAGGATCTATAAGAATATCAAATGAATAAAAATTGACTTATAATTCAATTTTACAAATTTTCTCCCACAACCCTAACATAGTAGTTCGTAATTGGTCAGTTTGTAATATGACAGGATCCATAGCGAGCAGGCGAAACCCATTTGCGAGGTGACCAATTGTAAACTGTAATGTCGGAGTTGTGAGAGAAAGTTTGAGAGATTGAATTATAAATTTAGTATTACTTGTATCAAATTATTCATCTTTTTGCCAAAAACAATAATAATAATTAAAAATAAAATAAAAAGAGATAATATAGAGGCTCCTATGTACTTTAGAGTGTACTATTTGTAGTTCTCTTCAATAACATTTTCCTTTTTACTAGTCAAAAAGAAAACCAAAGCCCACACTCTTGAAGGGGAAAAAAAAAAAAAAAAGTCTTGAAGATGAGATGGCTTTAATCATATCTAAATGACTTTTTTCTTGGACTAATCAAACTAATTATTTACTCTTAATTATTTACATTCTTGATTCCAATAGCCCTTGTTAGTTCATATAGGTCGAAACCGATCTTCAATAATAACATATCATTTCAATCACGTAAATAGGTTAAGAGATTTTTAATCTTTATAATATTATATCGTTTCAATCACGTAAATGGGTTAGGAGATTTTTAACCTTATAAAAAAGAATAAATTAATAGATTAATTTTTTAGTGTTGGATACCCAATTTCTCTAATTCAATTATAATTAAGGATAAATACATTAATTAGCATAGTTTGGCTACAATATACAAATAAGATTCTCAATGTAAAGTAGATTCAAAATTCTAGTAAATTATAGTGAAAATTAAGGATAATTTTGCATATTATAATTAACGGTTTGCTTTGTTAATTCTATTAACATTTGTCAGTTCATGTAGGTCGAAGCCGATAGTAGATAATATATCATCTTAATAACATTGATTAATTAAGAGATTTTTAACCTTATAAACTGTTGGGAGATCACGCAGTTAAAAATATACTTTTGAGATAAATAATATAAGATTACAATCACACCACGCCAAGAGACACGATATTTACGTGGTTTGATATAACCCGCTTACATCCATGGATCCACTATAATTTCATAAACACGATATAAAAGAGTATATAACACCATAAACCTGGTTCATAAAATAGAGTGGAAAAAATTCTAATTTATAACTATGATCAACCTAATACCTATAGTGGAATTGTGGAAACGATCCCAGTTTCTAAGACATTCTCCCTATGGTGTTTAATAACTTTACATTAAATACCCTGTGTTCTCACATTCTCTCGTAATCTTGAATTGACTTTCACACCTATATTTATAGGTAGAATATGAGATATTCTTTTTCTAATAAGATTTATATTTCAATTCCTAATAAGATGGAATATTTAATATAATTTATATTTCAATTCCTAATAGCACTCCTAAATTCTATTCTTATTTACAACTGTATTCTTTACTAAATAGTTTTTCTGAAGATATACAATTTCACATGGGAACAAATGGAAAAGCAAGCTACAATACCCCAACATAAACAAGATAAATTAGTGGATTAATTTTCTTGGTTGAATACCCGATTTCTCTAATTCAATATTTCAATTATGAAAGATAAATATATTAAAAAATTTGATTAATGTACCTAAGTTGTGGTTAGTTAAGTTAACATTACAATTAAACATTCAATGTTGTCATTGGGTTAGTTATTTTAACATAATTTAGTATAAATTATAGTTTAAAAAAATGTAAAAGGATAAATTTGCATATTCTCTTGTCTTTCAACTTTTGATAACCCCCTTGACAAGTTATAAATCTTCCCTTTTTACATTTGCACGTGCAAACACACGCGCAGAGTAACCTGCAGAAAGGTAGTGAAGATTTTTATTAGTTTCCAACTTCACTGCCGATTTCACACTCTGCAGTCCTTTACATACTTTGTGTACACCGGAATCTACTTGCTTAAAGTTAAAACCCATAAATTTTTGGCCTTTACTATATATGCTTTTGGCCTTATGTGTTTTGGTCCAACTTCATGTCCCATGAATATGAAAAATTAAAAAAATTAAATTAAAAAAGAAGGCAAAAGAGAAAAAAATGGACTCAAAAATAAAGTAAACAGAAAACCCAATTGCTTAAATTCACTACTTGTTATAAGAAGTTGAAATCATTTACCACTAAGCACCCCCCAACATTTGGTTTAGAAAAAAACTCTCCCAAGAAATGGAAGAACAATGCAGCCCTCTTGGCTGGGGACATTGCTATCAAGAAGAGGTAAATTCTCTTTGATTTTCGCTTCAATTTCTAATTCTGTCTTAATTTTTTTTTTTTTAAGTAGAGGGTGTTTTAAAATTTTTCATTTTGGTGGCAGAGAATTGAAGAGTTAAGGCATTTGTACAGAACTTGGGAGCTGGAGGCAACGATTTTATCAGCTAAGGAGGAGATCGAAAGGCGAGAAATAGAATTCATCCATCTTAAGGATGTTTTAAATAAGACTATCAAAGAGAGGAATGAAGCACAAACGCAATGCCAAAAGCTGATGCTGGAGAACCTTTTGCTGCAACAACAACTTCAAAAACAGCAGCAGCAACAAGAAGCTCGGGCTCAGGTGATGTCGCGCACATCTAGCAGCGATGATGAATCAAAACCGGGCGACATACTTAGGAATCAAAACTTGACTTTATCTCCCATTACAAATCCGGTATTATCAGAATTGCCGCAAGAGGCCTTGAATTTAGCAGCCGATAGGCCATTGCCGGTGAAAGGCAAATTATTGAAGGCAGTAATGGAAGCAGGGCCACTTTTGCAGACTCTTCTCTTGGCGGGACCTCTCCCTCAGTGGCAGCATCCTCCTCCGCAGCTCGACTCCGTTGAAATACCACCGGTGGCGATAAGTTCTTCACCTTCGCCGCGCCTTCGACACCATCAGAGCTCTTTCAACAGTCCAACTGCCGGTTGTTTAAGCAAGAAAAGAGGTCTTGAGTTCGGTGAAATTGGTTTTGATTCTTCCCCAAAGTATCAAAAAGTTGCCCCCATTAATTAACCAAACCCTGCAAAAATTATTAGCCCATCTCTTTCATACTGTTTGACAATTAACTGATGACTTTCAGCATGAAATGGATGGGTTTTGCGCATCAGTTGATTGATTGAGATTCTGTAAACTACTTAATTTTGCATTAGGATTAACAATCTTTTTAATTATGCATGATTAATGTTAATGTGTAGCTAATATGAAATGGGGTTGAAGAAATTTTCCGCAAAAGCAATGGAACTTCTATCTGAGTTTTATAATATCAGCTTATTATATTATGAATTTGAACTTTTTGATAGATTGGGTTGATGTAACCAAATCTCCAAATTCATCAGAAGATGTAATTTTTTTTTTTAATAGAATTATGATATGGTAATGGTCAGTCATGGAATGGCTTTTAGCTTTAGCTTTTCCGTTATATTAAAGTAAGATTAATCATAAGCAAATGTGACCAAGATGAGGAATTAAATTATAAAAACCTTTTGTTTTGCTTTTCTATGAAGCACACCTACCATTGATAATTTGGTGAGTGCATGTCTGCCATTAAAGATAGCACCTTTAATTCAATTTCACCATCATAGCTAATAATGAAGCAGAGGTCCTCTCGCATTCACCATAACTGATCATCAAAGTTGTTCTCATACCCAAACTGACTTCAATTGTGTCATGAAATCAATAACAACCAAAAGTTAGTTAAACTTAACATGGAGTCATTAAGTACCCATTTGATTTAAAAGCTTAAATTTACATATACGGGCCAGAAAAACCATATTCCATAAAAATCCACTCTACAATATAGGATTAAAAAGCCAAAATGAATGATTTTAACCCTTGTAAAAAGAAAACTGATTCTCAAACCCCGTTTGCGTTCAAGTTAAGTTGAGATATAATTGAAGAAAAATTGCAAAATATAATTTGATTTATTGTAATTGATTAATGAACATGTTGGTTAACCTTATTTTGAAACACATTATCTATTGAGTCTCGAAAAAGATGGAGTGTCAAACATTTCATAAAATAACTATAATATAACAGTAAAAACAGACTATTTAAAACGTTATCTAAATAGTAAAGATAAAATTGGAAGTGAAAGAATAGTATGAGGAAATTAAAGTGTCATGGTCATTTGCACCTTTACACCACCAAAGAAACAAGTCAATGAAAAACACACACAAATTGACGAAGAAGTAATTAAGTAATTAAAGAACAAGTTTCTTCAATTGAAGTAGCCATTGTCGTGCGTCGCACATGCTAGTGAGCGCAAGATTCACCGGTGAGGTCCCCACGCGGCAATTCTCTCCTTTTTTTTTTTTTTTTTGGAGAGAAGAGAGGAGAACTTAATTCACTGATCTTTGATAGGTGAACTAGACTAGACTTGCTTAATTTGTGTTGTCTTCTGACAACGACTTGTTTTCACTACTCATTCTTTACACGTGTCATTTCTCCATTCGTTCAACCCCAAAATTTTGGATTTTAAGGTCATTCTACTTCTTTACGGAAAGTAGAAGATATTAATAAATATTCTTAACTAATAACATGGCTGCGTTTGATTCGTTATTTCACCACTATTTTATTCTTATTTCAAATATAAATACGCGTTTGTTTTCTTATTTTCAAAATCATATACTAAATTTTTTTTTAAACCCCCTAAGTTTATTAATTGATAAAAATACCTCTAACAAAAAAATTTATAAATTGATAAAAACACTCTCATTCACCCATAGTTACCAGATTCTGGCAACCACCATCGATGGTGGTCAGAATCTGTCACAATAGTGCACTACTGATCAGAACTAGCCAGTAATACGCTAATCTGATCTTTTTCAGCCAGACCCCCAATGGATCTGGCTAGAAAAGGCCAGATGTTGAACGTCAACAACGACCAAGAGTTGGCTATCGTTGATCATCAATGTCGGCTATATCTTTTCCGATCGACAGCCAGATCGGCACACGACTGGCCAGATCCGACCGACCGATCGTGAGTCGTAACGCCAGATTCGGCTAGATTTCGACGGTGGTGACCATAATCTAGCAACTGTCGGTGGGTGGGGGTGTTTTGTCATTTTACAAAAAATTTATATATTGGGGTGTTTAATTAAATTAGCAAACCTATGGTTTTTTTTTTTTTTTGTTAATTTTTAAAATTTACCTCGTAATAATCACGAAACTCTACCTACCAATAATATTTTAAAAATATTACTCAAAATATGAAACAAACACACAATTTCATTACATAATGGGCCACTTTTTTTTTTAATTTTTTTTTTTTTTATAATCGGGGTGTATAGGTCCGCTTATACGTACTTCAACTAATCTTTTAAAACCTTAGAGGTTGGAATTATCCACAGAATAAGAGCTCTAGTGGCTATCCCTATTAGCAACTAAGGAGGGACTCAAACTTAGGATTTCTTGAGTGATACACCCAAGAATCCCTATCGAACCACTCAGTCACCCAAAGGTAATTTAATGAACTATCATTTCTTGATTAGATACCTATCTTACCTTAACAAAACATGAGATTATGAGTCGAAGTTAATTAAAAAAAAAAAAAGTAAAAATAAAAACTACTTCTTAATTATATTGTTTATAAATATATACATAATATAGGTCAAAATAATTTATTTAGAATAATAAGTATTTTGAAATTTTTATAAGTTGTTTAGTTGTATCTTAAAAGTATTTATATGATTTACAATAAATTAATTTAAGATAAATTATTTTATGTCTATCTTGTAACTATTTTTAAATTATTTAAAGTGTTTTGAACATCTCTATACTATTTTATGAATTTGATTTGATACTTTTTTTTTTCTATATATTAAAATATATATTTAAGATTATAAATCTCTTTTATATTATTATTATTATTATTATTTTATTTATAAAAACTCTACTCTAGTAAGCTTGACTCTTATATGCTTTACTTGAAGAAGTCATACAAAATAGATTTTAAATTTTTTTATATCGAACCACTTAGCTTGTGACTAGATGACAAAACCTTAGATTACAGTTTGCTTTTTCTTTTTCAGTTTGGCCTCCTAGTTTAGTTCACTCTCCTCCTGCGATCTCCTTCAGCAGTTCAGCTTCAGCCTTCAAGTGTGAATCAGCCTAGTTGATGGATCATGGATTCATATATGATATTACTTTGATTTCACTATTTTGTAATTGTAATGCCTTTAATGATGTTTGAAAATTGAAATTAGAGTTTAGACTTGAGTTGAGGATTGATTTTTAGAATTTGTAAACATTAAGTCATTAACTATCAAAATTTGATGGTTTTAATGTTTTGAGTGTTATTAATTGTTTTTAGATTCAGTACATACAAAATTTGAAAATTTTCAGTTACAAAATCTGAAAATTTCAGTTTTTTTTTGCTTTTGTTGATGTCACTAGTCCGACCAACCGGTCGGACCGTGTAAACTGGAATCGGATATTTTAGCGGGTCGACTCCTGGTCCGATTTTCAGAACATTGGTGTAAACACAATGTATTTACTCCCTAGAATCATGAATGTAAATATAAAATAATAATCCTATACGTCCAGATCACCACATCTACGTATTAAACTAGTTATTAAATGAAGACCAAAATGTGGACAGTTCAAAATAGGTTCGGTGTTTGGTTTGGAAAACTGTTGTCCGAACCTTTTGTTCCTTTACCAATTTGCCCTCTTCATTCCCTCTCATTCATTACTCATTTCATCATTCAAATCGATTAGTTTTTGAGTGAGTGATAAATTTTAGCTGGTGCGGTGCTATGGACAGTTTCAGCTTTCTCGGCGACGAGGATCCTATCGTTGTTGCAGGTACTTTCTTTCTTAATCTTATAATAATTTCTTTTAATCCTTAGAAGACTCCAAAGATTGAGATTTTATTCTTGAAGCTCTTTTTTTTTTTTTTTTTTTTTTTTTAACAGCCGAGAAATTAGTATCATAAATGAGGGTTTTTAGGGTTTCAATGTCGTAGAACTTATTGTATCAAGATTTGGAACTGGAGAATGTGGGATTTGCGCACTCTGGGTTTCTAGGGTTAGGATTTTTTAAAACTGAATGAGGTGGTGTGGAGTGGATAGACTGTAGAAATTCACTGTTGACTCTGTTGGTTTATAAGAAAATGAGAAAGGGAGGAAATGGATGTTTATCCTATAATTGCCGAAAATACAGCTGTATTTAGCTGAATTTAGTGGGTTATTCACTGGAAACTAACTTTGGTTATCTTTGAGAAATTTAGGGTTAGGGTTTTATGAGATGGAAACTTTTTGGATTAAGAGAATTGTGGTTGGTGAGTTTTGTATTCAGAAATTGTGTTTATATTGATTTGAGCTATGGTTAGTACACGTGCTTGGTCTAATTTGGGATGAGGTGGTCACTACTTGGTAACTGAAATAATGTTATTCATGGGATTCGGTATTTCTTTTTTATATCAATGTTGTAGGAAAACAAACTGTGGTTAGGTTGTCAAATAACTTGACGAGAAATTGTTGTGGGCAATTTTAGATGAAAAACCTAGAGGGAAGAAAATGGTAAAGGGATCTAATGTTGGAGTGTCCCAAGGAAAAGACTAGCCGACATAAGCAACATGCAGCAGCCGAGTAAGCTTTCAAATGAAGTTGTAAAGCACAACAAACCGATTCCTTGCAGCTAATGTGTATGTTGACCAGCTACAAGGTATATGTCAGAGGATTCAACTCCTCTTCGCTCTCTTTTGTATAGCATGACCTTACGGATCTTTCTTCACTTTTGCTCACTGGGGTTTTATTCTGCATCTGCTCCCCAGGAAAATATGACCTGATGAAACTTCTTGCAGAAAGAAAGTATCCTCAATGGTCACTTTGTTTTGCTCTTTGTTTGCACATTAAATGTTGTGATTTCAATGCCTTTTTCGGTTGCGGGTTTGCCCCTTAATTCTGGTTGGCAGTAAATTGATTGAATTAAATGGAACTGAGCTACAGAAGATGAAAATCAATTTGCAGAAAGCACAGCACACAAAAATTGCAGCTTGCCAAAGCAAACAGTTCAATGTTGGCGGTAACCTTGCTTATTTCTGATTTTAGTTTCTGTTTACCTAGTTTTTAAGCAGCTAGAAGGTGGTATCTTGTACAATATATGTATAATATTTTTTATCTGATCATGCAGGAACTTAATTCAGGTAAAGATAGGGTATGTTTTCTTTATAACTTCTTGCTTTTGTTTTCTTGGCCTTATAATTTTCTGTGCATTGATATTTGCTCTTTGTTAATCTTCAGCTGAGAGTACTTAACATGAGCTGGGATGTATAAACACCTTACGTGAAGAAGAAACTTTGTGTTAGAGGTCATTTCCATAGTAGTTTTCCCCTTGATGAATGTGACTGAGTTTATTGGGTTAGACTGTATTAGTTAGTAACAAATCTTCTTGTTTTCACACAGGATAAAGCAAATACACTGACATGCCATACTCTGGAACTCAGGTAGTTAGCAAATTCAATGTGTAAAATTTCTAACACATCAATTATTTAATTCTCATGTTATTTACACCTTTTCTTCACTACTTTCAGATAGGAGCAGATAAATATGACAAGGGAGGCAAAGCGGATGAGCAGGACAAGAAACCTTGTAATACCAACAGGAGAAGGCAATCAAAAAATCAAAGTAGCAAGTTTACCAGATGCTTTCTATTCTAAATTTCAGAACATTACCTAGACTAAAATCTTTTCACTTATAGTTTTACATGTAGGTTCGGATTCTTCTACTGTCAGTACGGTCCAAGATAAAGAGAAAGTTGATAACAAGAGGATTTCTAAATCAGTTTCTATTCAAAGTTCTCACAAAGATATAATTTAAAAAAAAAAAAAGAAATTTACATTGATTTCATGTTCTGATTGCAGGCTTCGATTGAGAAGGCAATATGGTAGGTTAAATCTGAAGAGGCAGAGCCATCAGAGAGAGGTTTGTAATGCATGTTCTGGTGCTGTATGCCATTTGATTTTTCAGTGATATGTTTATTATCAGTTAACATTGACCAGTAAATTTAGTGGAACAAATGTAAATTTAAATTTGCTTTTGTGGTTTTCCTTCTTCTCTTGACAGGGTTTGTTTGAGAAGACAATCTGCCAGGTTTAAGTGTGAAGAACCAGCACCAGCACCAGAACGACTCAAGATAAAGTTGATAACAAGAGGTTTTTTTCTGTAAATTTTGCTGTTTAGTGCAATTTCAATATCTAAATCATGTTTCTATTTCAAAGTTTCATAAAGAATTAAATTAAAAAAAAAAAAAAAAAATTTACATTTGATTTCAGTTCTGATTGCAGGCTTCGTTTGAGAAGGCAATCTGGTAGGTTAATTGAAGAGGCAGAGCCATCAGAGGAGAGGTTTGTAATGCATGTTCTGTGCTGTATGCAATTTGAATTCAGTGATATGTTTTTATCGGTTATCACATTGACCAGTAAATTTAGTGGAACAAATGGAAATTTAAATTTGTTTTTTGGTTTTCCTTAATTCTCTTCACAGGCTTTGTTTGAGAAGACAATCTGCAAGTTTAAGTGTGAAGAACCAGCACCAGAACCGACTCAGGATAGGTTTGTGTGCTTGTTTTTACTGCTGTGTGCAGTTTTGGAATTTGAGTGATGTTGTCATTTCAGGTTGTTTTAAATGTATAAAGTTTCGAGCGACAGAAAAATTGGATTTAAGTATTCTTTATCCTCTTCCTGTCTTTTTTTCAGAAGCAGTTTGCTAGGGTTAAATCTGTTGCGTCAAAACCAACTGAGGATTCATTTGAGATTGATGATGTAAATCTCCTGTTTCCCTCTGAGTGATAAACTGGTACATGAGAATGATACAACATCATCGACTTATCAGTCCAACAAGAGCGCAAAGAAGGAAACCGTGCCCAGAAATGAGAGTCATGAAACTAGGAGAGGATCTTCTGGAAGGCCCTTGCGTCAGGCAGTTGAGAAGGTGCAATCAAAAGAAATTCCTCTAAAGTTAAAATGCGCCGAGAAAATTGAGGTAAAAAACTTTCCCCAGTCACTATATGCTATTGCACATTTCGTGCCTCTTGGTATTGTTGTTTTGTAGTATGTGTTGGATTGACTTTTTTGAAAATGACTGCTAATTCTTTGTAAACTCTATCTAAGCGGGCGGCTGTTCTCTTTGTGACACCATGGATAGAGTGAAATGCCCAAAATCCAACCTCAATTTAGTTGGTTTCTATCTGAATAGGTTCCAAACTCTTCCAGTCATAGATCAAACTTGTCAAGTTGAATCATGAGTACATTTCTTATTCTCATTGTTTTGATTTCTAACTTTCAAGCTTTGACATACAGTTATTTGCTTATTTTCTTTTTGGGTGTTGAAGTTTATAAGAGAGGGAAAATAAATTTCATTTAAAAAATCCATTTATAAAGAATATGATGGCTGATTTCGAGAGTACTAGTGAAGCAAACCAATATCCATATCTTAACAGTACCAATACCAGGAGCTCCTTTTTTCTCAATCATTGTTGTAGTACGATGTGACAATCAGGGACGTAGCCACCAATAGCCCCACTGAACTTAGGAATTTTTTCAAAAGTTAACAATTCTACTTTATGTTAACATTAACATCCCTTTTCTAAATCCAAGCATTATCACCACTTTAATTTTTATTTTTATTTTTGGTCAAAAATGTCTAATATTTCTTTGTTATCCACGGAACACATGAAATAATCATAAAATTATTTGTATACACCATGAAATAATCATAAAATTATTTGTATACGAAAAATTATTAAGGAAATTTAATGAATTCAAACTAGAACATGTTAAATTCTAAATTTATCATATCATAATTTTTTTTTTTTATTTATAAATTATCATGTGAGTTGCAAATGAAAGTGAGACAAATTTAAAAATATACATGTTAAATTTAATCAAACATGATACAAAACCTAACATGAAACATGGTGACAGCATACTTATAGAGAATAGATTCGGTTTTAAAGATGGATAAAGTTAGAAGTAATCTAAATTAAATTATGAGACGACATGAAGATAGCCATCGGGGACAAAATTCTTGTCAACGCGTGTTGATAAATGAAAAAAAAAAAATTGATGAGAAAATTTGGTAATAATCCAGCAGTTAAAAGTGAGAAAAGAAACGGGACATGTTGGTCCATGTCACATGCAAAGAAGAAAAAAAAGGTAAGGTGACAAAAAGCCAGAGATTTTCACATCATTTCTTTCTTATTCTACAACTTACAACTATAAACCGCGTTCTGCACGAAGATGAATAAATATTTGAATGTTTGTTGCCTTCCTCTTCCTTCCTTTCCTCTTTGTCTTGATGATATCGTGCTCTTACTATATCTGCTTTCCATTCAAATCAAAGTAATTGCGATTTTTTTTTTTTTTTTTGTGATTAGAGGTATTCGGATGAGCTTGTACACATCTTTACTAATCTCCTGAAGTTGATACCTGATAAGTCTCTCAGTGGCCACTCCTATTAGGGCCTATAGAGACTCAAATCAGGAGTTCATGAAACCTCATTTTACACTTTTATCATCAGAACACCTCGTAGTGATTCAAGATCATTAAAAGTTTTATCACATAAAATTTTGTTTTATAGTTTAATAATTTATTTTAATTCTATTTTATTTTAAGTTTCTTATTTAGACTGGATATACAAGAATCCAACAATAATTAAGAATGACGTGAATATAATAATATTAGATGTTCCGGCTAAAAATTTCTAGTATAAAATAATTCTCATAGAGTATCTTGATATTAGTTGTAAGATAATATTAATATGTCATTGGATTCATGTAAAATATGATCTCATTAGTGAATGTGAGAATATATATCATCTTATTAGGTATTAAAATAATTCATAATAATAAAAAATTACTTAAAATATAAAACAAATTCCCATGTATGATTGATGTGTCAAATTGTGATTGCACCACTCAAAAGACCCCACAAAAGAGATGTGGGATGGGAAAAAGAGCCCATAAAAACAAACAAATATGAAGAATTTTACATGTGAGCGTGGGGTGCACCATAATTTGATTTCCAAGGACCCACGCGCAAAACGGCAATGCAGCATGGTCCACACCCCACATTAAATCTTCGTTTTTGTTCTTTTGTTGGTCTAATTTAAAAGTTAGAATCAAAGCAAACCAACCATGCCGTTAATACATACTTTTTCTACTTTTTGCTTAATTTAAACATTATTTTCTTTTTTTAACGAACTTCGATATAGGTTAAAAAAACAATTATATTCCTGACACCTGAAAAATATACAATTATGTCCTCAATTTACGAACATCAAACTTTTTAATCTCTTTGGGTATACAATATAAAACACAAAAAAGTTATGAATGAGATTAATCATATAATAATTCTTACAACCGCAAGAGATTGAACTATTATACTCACAACCTCTATCATTTTACTATACATTTACTTCTTGAGGTCTCCTTTAATATATTTCCTCCTTGTATTTGAAATAACTATTTACCCTTTGCTGCAACATTCTATAGGGTTTCAAGATTAATTTATCAGATAAGGGTAAAAATATATTAGAACAATAAAGATTGACTCATAACTCAATCTCAAAACCATCTCTCAAACTTTGATGTGACACTCACAATGGTCAGACGGAAAATTCTTAGAAACCAATTGCGAGTTGTCAGTCGGGATTGGGAGATTAGATTGTAAGTATAGTATTGTCCACTAGGTAAATGACTGGAACCTTGAAGGAACATTAACATCAAGAATAAATTGTTATTCAAATATTTAATGAGAGAAATGTTACTCAATGAAATATCAGGGGAATGTATTAAAATCTTATGAACCTTTGAAGATATCAGTGAAATCTTACCTTAAATGGTGTAATGTAATTAACAAAAATAGGAGAGGTTGTTGATATATCTCACTTGAAGGGTGCATGTGAAGTCATATAAACTTCAAGTTGTTGTTTAAAGTTTATTTATTTATTTTATTTTATTTTTAACATATGGTAGCCCAAAAGAGGGTCCAATAAGGGCCCACCATTATCTACTTTGCCCAGTCTTTGGGGGAAATGTTTTCCTCCCGCGCCTCCTCTGACTTGACCCCTAAAAACTCACAATTTCTATAACCATATTACAACTTTTGGTGGTTAATATCGTTTCCCTAATTGATTTAAAAATTAAAATTAGTGAAAAATGTATTTATTATTATTTTTTAGAGAAATAAAAGCCAATTTCATATTTTCTAACATCTTATCTTCCACCAAAGTTAGAACACATTTTCAAATGCAGTGCTAAAGTATATTTAGGTGATTTTGTAAGATAAAAATGAAAAAAAGATATTTCATTTTAATTTTTTTAGATCACAAAATAAAATAATATAATAATAATAGTATAAATAATGGGGTATTATGAAAAAAAATTCTAGTGAATAAAACAAATGAAGAAGTTAAAAGAGAAATTTTCTACTTCCCAAGGTCTTTCATTTCTAAAAGGCGTGTAAACATCTCAAAGTTATATTCCTCCTTCCTATAAATCTACATAAATTTGGACTTTTACTCTTATGGTAGCCAACAAGAGTGTTTTGTGTGCTAAAAGTTAGAATTTATCTACAAAAACTATGCATTTTCAAAGAGGAGGATTATAAGAATATCAAATGGATAAAAATGACTTATAATCAATTTTATAAATTTTCTCTCACAGCCCTAACATGGTAGTTTGTAATTGGTCATTTACAATATGACAGGATCCATAGCGAGCAGGCGGAACCCATTTGCGAGGTGACCAATTGTAAACGTATACGAAGGTGTGA